AACTTTCTGTTGCTCCATCCAGTCCTGTAATTGTGGAGGTGCCCCACTTTGCTGCTCTGCGTGGGGGCGAGCGTGAGCTTGTTATCTTGAGGAGTGAAACGGGTGAGAGCTGGAAGGAGCATCATTGTGAGCACACCCAAGAAGAACTCAACCAGATCCTTAACAGCATGGATGAAGGTCAGCCTCCGCAATGTCTTCTTGCTCAGCATCTAAATATCGTCACTGTCCTGTGAAAAACACGTATGTCCAGTTTTCACATTTCTTATTCTCATTCCTACATTTTTTTTTTTTTTATACGTCAATGGGCAGAGAACGTTTCGGGCATTCCATTCACGTAAACATTTTTAAAATGACAAAAATGGACCTGTTTCTCACAGGACAGCGACGATATACTCCAAAGACTGATATAGGCGGCATACCAACATTTCTGTTTTCCCCTCCCCTAGAACTGGACTCTCAGGAGGAGCTCCAGAAGAAGCGCATTTGCCGCATCATCACCAGGGATCTCCCACAATACTTTGCTGTGGTGTCACGTGTTAGGCAAGACAGTATTTTGATTGGTCCCGAAGGAGGCGTCCTGAACAGCACGGTTGTACCCCAAGTGCAAGCTGTTTTTCCTGAGGGGGCCCTAACCAAAAGGATCAGGGTGGGCCTGCAGGTAAATGACATTGCTTTGGAGCTTCACATGTGTGAGACATCCCGCATGGTGCATGAAAATATGTTGCTTCAGAGGACTCTGGGTTGGAGAGTGGTAGCGTGGTGGCCCATGCAGCCTCCAGTGCACCTTCTTGAGTGTTTTGGCATCCCAGGTGTGACCAAAGTCAGCTGCTTCTGGTCTTGATTTTTTGGTTCTTAGACCTGGACAATAAACAGTGACTGGACCTCTTTGTTGCCAAGTACTTGAAGAATTCCCAGGCTATTGATAGGTTGACTTTGCTTCTTCAGCTCACAAAAATGGGACATGTACCAAAGACACAAGAAGCCCTGAACTCCTCTAGTATCAAGTAGAATTGAA